ATGATCACCACATTTTTAACTAATTTAGTCCCTTTTCAAAAAAAAAAAAAGTAATTTTTTGTCAAAATTTTCCGGGATTTGCCAGTGAGAAAAGGGTTTAAAAATCTCTGTGTGCGTACTTTCGATTTCATTTGTTTGGGAGAATTGTATCATGAAATCCTTGTTGGATGATTACTTTGCTCCTAAATTTTTGGCCTGCATATGGGTAGTACCTGACTTTTTTGCACGTGTGACAAGCAAAATGTTTGTATTTTGTGTTGTGTTTTTTTTAATGGTGGTATTTGAGGATATATTGACGATTTCTCTCTTTCTGTGTCAATATATATAGTTGAAGCATCTCTGAGGAGGTATGATGGAGATTAAGGAGATTCATTCGGCGGCTGAGAGTGATAATCTCAAGAAAATCTCTTAGGAAAGCATCAATGGCATTCTTTGGTGAGTATGGCCTCTAAGCCACCAAATAAACTCCTACAATGCATTTCCTTTTGCAGTTCTTAGTCACCAATGCTTTAGCAAATAGTTGCATTTTGCAGTTGTTCTTTTTAGAATTGGGCAGGTTTTGTGACATTTTTGCACTTACTGTTCTGCTCCTATCTAATTTTCATTATTAAAACGTAAAAATTATCCATTTTCTTACTTCGTAATTAAATATACACCTTTGGGATAAAACATACTTTGTGATAAACACAATTTGATCTTGATGATCATTTCTACTAATTTTATCTTCTCAGAAACTATAACGCGAAAAGCGTGCCATTTTCGTGCTTTCCTAGCCTTTTTTTTTTTTTTTTGATTTCTTAATGCTTATTTTAGGAAGGTTAAATCTTGGTCTCATCACCATCATCATGTTTTTGGGCAACTAATTTTTATGACTTTTTTTATTTTAAATCCTTGTTCATATATAACTGACTTCGATTTCATCTAAAAAAAAAAAAAAGATGAAAGAAATAAACCTTTAGGAAGCAAAGTTAAGAAACTGTTTAGTTCTTATACGGTAGTATGTATGTTCTTTCGTGATTGCTGTTAGAAATCAATGTATCCCAGAATTAATCCTGATTATTGCAATCATATTCTCTACAAATGTATGTTTTTTTCACACGACGTTTTGCACGATTTTTAATCGTTCGCATTTTGTGCACTTAAAAGTCAGACTTTGATTTGATGGGGGCAAAAAGATTATTTGCCTGAATGAAGAAGTTTGGGAAGGTGACACTTGAAAAATTAAAAGTTTTGGATGAGTAACAAGTTTATTAAAGAAGACAAATGTTAAGGCTATTGGAATAAGTGTCGCAATCTATTGAACTAGCAAATGTCTTGGGATAGATATACAGTACCTCCGTTTTTTTTTTTAATAATGATTCGTACAAGGAAAGAATTCGAAAAATAAATTACAAGAAAATGATCTCACTCATCCATTGTTAAAACTTTCCAAACAGGATCTATGCATTTAAGGTTAGGGCATAGTTATTAACACATCATTCCTTGTCATTTTTCCTTGTCATTTTTTTCTTGTACCTATCACTACATTTTTTTATCTGCGTTTTGGGGTGAGCCCAAAGTTTTTTGCTAATCTGTCACACTTCATTTCTAATGCAACATTAAATACTGTTCTTCTAATTTTATCTTTATTTTTCTCTACTTTTAATAACATATATAACATATATTAATAACAACTGCCTACTCTTTAAATTTAGTTTCAAATTTTAGTTTATTGTCAATTCTCTATAATGTAAATTTGTTGCTCTTGAATTATCCATTAAAAGGTGTAGCTCTCCTCATTCTTGTTGTCTTTTAGTCAAATATCATGAGATTCGTTTGGTGTAAAAGTTGTTTGTTGACTGCCTTTTTTCACATAAGTTGGGATCTGTTCCTTACTCTTTACATTCAATAACAACCTCTTTGTTCTATTCCTTGTGAAGTTGAACATCTAAGAATAGGAAAAAAAAGAGGGAAAAAGATATGTTCTAAAGTGAAGTCATTCCCAGACAATATAATTTCTCAACTCTCCTAATAATCCCCAGCGAAGTTGCATATGCAAAATTTGACAGAAAAATCGACAGAAATATTAAAATTTTGGGAAAACCCATGTTCTTACGTCCCAAACTCTATGGTTTCCCCAAACCTTGAGATCGATTTCGTCGCCAAGGATGCATTACAGCGTGAATTTTGCTGAATTCCCTCTATTTGGGAATAAACATCCGATTTTCACTTTTGTTTCCGCAAAATGAATGATCATAGTTTAGCTGCAATTCTAATGGAGTTGACAGGAGAACAGATTCACTCAACAAAAAGGCAATAAATACTATATCCTCGCAACAAACTATCATGTATAGACGACGAGAATCATAACTGTTACAAAATAACCTCGGATATATGATTTAAATAAAAATAAATAGAGACTTAAATTTAACGTAAAGATATACTTGTAATTACAAAACTAATCTGAAAATAGTTGGATGCCAATCAAGTTTGATTTCTCCCTTCTAAAATTTAAAATGTCTCTCACGTAGTCCAGGAAAGGAACTAATAGCTAGGTCATAGCTCTCTCAAGGTCAACCTGAAATTGCACCAAAAGAGACGATGGTGATCATTAAAGGATATTCAGGCTTCCGCAACACAGAGTAGAGTGGCTGGGGCTGAGTTGATAAATTAGTTGTAGCAAGGAACTCAAACGAGCTTTTGTACTTATGACCGAATTTGGTGCGGATCCATGATGTACTCCGAAACGAACATCTGTAGATCCCGGAGGAAGTAACACTAATTTGGCCTAATCTGATCAAATGATCACCCATTAAGCAAACAATGGTTTGGCACTTCTGCAAACCTTCACTATGAATCTTCGGGAAAGACTTGCAGGTGATTAGTATCTATCTTGGACTTACGAAGTTTTAAATGAATCAGTTCATTACGAAGATGGAGAGGGGGAAGAAAATGAGGCGGAAGTGATTAGTGAAAGCAAAAAACCTACTTTTCTGGTCTCTATATAAATGTGGGCTGCGCCTGCTATATATAGTAAATATACTGCTGATATTGGTAGTACATTCAGCTAGTAGAATTGTATGTTAGAGAAATGCAATATGTTGACCGATTAAAATTAAAAATTTTAATTTTGTAATTTTCTATAAAATTACAAAAAAAGAATAAAACACGATTCAATCTTTCCAGTCAACTTGAGCAGAGGCATAGAGGCATAGCATTGAATAGATTCATAATTCAAAGTGAGCACAACTGTATATTGTTGTAGGGATACTTACTCCTAGCCCTAGCATTGAATAGATTGATAATTCAAAGTGAGCACAACTGTATATTGTTGTAGGGATACTTACTCCTAGCCCTAGCATTGAATAGATTGATAATTCAAAGTGAGCACAACTGTATATTGTTGTAGGGATACTTCTTCCTAGCCCAACACTTCTCAAGCCCAATACATAAGACCCAAATGGGTTCCACTCTAAAACCAATTGGTCATAAAGAGAGTAACTAACTAGCCTTATATATTGAGCTTAAAGCTCTCCTACCACCGATGTGGGATTGAGTTTGCACCCAACAAACCTCTAAAACACAAGACCACACACTTGGGCATCCCTTTTAACGGCAATCCAACTTGTACCGCCGCTATAACCCGCAGAGCACGCCGCCTGGCCCCCCATTGTAAGGAAGACTTCCGACACAAGACCAACAACTAGGCATCGGTTCTATTCCTCGAGCCCATGAGTCGTTGCAAGGTCAAACTGAGAGAACATGCCACTATATCCATACATCAATTGGGCTAGAACCGTGACTCTAATACCCGTTGTAGGGATCTTTCCTCCTAGCCCAACACTCCTCAAGCCCAATACACGATGCCCAAATGGGGTTCCACTCTAAAACCAATCGGTCATAGAGGTGGTAACCCACTAGGCTTATATATTGAGATTGGAGCTCTCCCACCACCGATATGGGATTGAGTTTGCACCCAACATATATCTCAACAGGGGATGAATGCATTGGGTTTCATTAATTCTAGCAAGGAACTCAAGCAAGCTTAGATTTTTATTTTATTTTATTTTACCAACTTGGGTTTTGGATCCATAACGTAGTCCGGCGTGTTCTTCATCTTCCAATATTCCATACAAAGTAATCTGATCAAACAATAACCCCATAAAGTAAAGAAGGGCCTCACTTCCCCTGCCCTATGCTGTCCTACGAATCTTTCTTATAAAGTCTGAAGTATCGTAGCCTTCAACTAGATCGGATCTGGGTTGTTCTTAATGAATTCCGTGGCAGTGTTGTTAATCAGGATGAAGAGAAAAAGACTATAGCTAATTAAATATAGGATAAAAAGTTAAAAATTCATGATCAATGGTCATGCTGAAACAATGTGCGATCCAACGCGGTCAAGACCAAAAGAACTACCAGAAAAGGCATCTGAAAAATGGCCAACCCAAAATTAGCCGAAAATTAAAATTAGCATTTGCACTATTCATCCAATTCTAAATAAGGAGACAAATAATTATAAACTCACCCTTTTAGATAAGCTTTGTGATCTAAACTTTTTTCATTAGATGTGCTTGTCAAGTGCTTTTTAATTATAAATAGCACAAGTTAGAACCGATTTTTTTTAAGTGCACAAGTTAATTAGCATCAAAATTTTAAGTCTAATTAGAGGATCAAAATCAGTGGTTCTCGAAAAATTTTCTTATCAAAAAATTTATATTCTACAGACTAATGATTTTACGAACGGATTACATGATCTTAGGAAAGCCGGAGATGTAGTCGGAAATAGTTGGATCCTGGGATTGAAAGCAATATTTCTAAAAATTCAGTTACAAAGCAAATAGTACATCAATCCTGGAGGATTGCGTAGATTTCCTTCTCGAAATTACCGTCCCTCACACACATCCTCACACCCAAAGAAACAAGGAGTGATGCGTTAGAACAAAAAGAAAAATACATATGAGGTTGAATTACTTTTAGCAAGGAACTCATGGGAGCTGCTTCGACTTGCACCGAAATTAAACCTTTCTTCTCCCGGTCTCTTCTGCCTTAGCATCGCAGCCTCTAAAATGGGATTGGATCAGAGAATGGGTTTTATTGGATAAACCCACGGTGCTGGAAATAAGCTTGGAGGATGAAGAAAGGAGGATGAGGTCTAGGGTTGGTGGAGGTTTCTGATTAACAAATAGGTGGCGACAGAGAAACGTTGAGCAAAACGGAGGCTGTGTGGGAAATGAGGGGAGTAGAAAAATACCTCATACTAGTTCGTTTTGTATTTTATATCTTGCTTGTGAACCTAATTTGGCTTCTACTTTCCACTCACTGGCGGATTCAGGGTGGGGCCAAGAGGGCCATGGTCTTCACTGGGCCCGACCTGGACCATATATATAGGATTATTTTTTAATTATTTTTAATATTACTTTTTTTTTTTACTCACAGTAAAGTTTGCTACTGTCTTTAGCTTTCTGCTATAAATTAGGTTTTGCTGGACACATGCATAATTTGGTTTTGAGTATTTTGGTTTTGCAATTTTTTTGGTAAATCGTTCTACTCTTTTTTTTGTCCCTTCTGTGAAAAAAAAAAAATAGACCACTGAAAATGATCAAACATTATAAAAAGATGAAGACTCATGACAATTAGATTCAATTTTTTTTTAATTATTTTAAATCAATTCTTGTGAACATTTAGTTTTATTTTTCTTTTTTCTTTGAAAGGTATTGAATTTAACTGTAGCCATAAATATTACTCCTTCCTCCCAAACTAATGTGTGTTTTGAAATTATATTTTTAATACAATTTGTGTTCAAAAAAAAAAATTAAGTCGACAATCGTTACAAAAATGGAGAGAATAATTTCTTTACTTTGACAATTTTATACTTTAAGGCCCCCTTCTTATTTTTATTCTAGATCCGCTACTGTTCCACTAGTACCGATCTGTAAACTTTGATCGTTTATTTTTACGAGACGGAAAAAGTATAATGAACCGGAGTACGGCAACCATAATTTTTTTATATGGTTACAAAGCCTAAAGTCATGATACATGCAAATATCATTCGCTTATTTTTCAGTAGGTAATTTGTGGACTGCCTTTTCACATGGGTTAGGATTCATTCCCAGTCCTGTTTCCTCAATAGCGGTATTTTCTTTTCTCCCCTACTTGCTAACGGATATTTTGCTTTCGTTTCAGTTTCCTTCCTTTTTTGAGGAGATCATCTAATTTCGTTTCAGTTAGGGTAGACAAATGGACCAGTAAACAATCTAATCAAGCCGTTTCTTGGGATCACTTCGGGAAAGATAACTTCATTTCTACATAATTGATCGAGCAAACAATTCAAATACTAATATTGTAACCGTGACTAATTATGAATGAGAACAGTATGGTCTCTCCAACAAAATTAGTCATTCCGTCGAATCATCTCTACTTCAATACTCATAAAAAGAATTATAACTTCAGGTTGAGGTCCAAGATCCTCCTCACCGTAACAGCTATGTTCAAGCTATTCAATCGATTATCGAAAATATCTACCTTTGTGAATCTCTACCTTCATGTATGAGCAACAATATTTGTCATTCAACTTGTAGGGATCCAAAAGATTTGAAAATCACTGTGCCAGTTAGAATGAGGATAAGATCTTTAACAAGTTTTTTCAAGGCCCACATTCACCAGAATTTGTAATGATTTCGAGTTTGAAGACAGTAGTTGGTAGCACATAAAGATGGTTCGTGTTTTACCAAATTGATGATGTGATGAAGTATATATAAATGGTGATGAATATATTGGCGGACATGTCCATGATATTTTTCTTTTTAATGTGAAAGTATGTTACATTTTATTTGAAGTAGCATTTCGATCTGTATCTCCCTTAATCATATCAACATATCCACGATAGGTATTTGATAGGAGAATTGTCGATAACAAGTATGGCGCGCAATAGTACTCATTTCCTAGTTACTAGTATTATGTCCGCAGGTTATGCGTGATATAATACTCATCCAAAACAAAAAAGATTTTGCATATTGTATTTTTAATTAACTGTTTTTAGTTAAAATTATAAAACACGATATGGACTAACTTTTTAGGACGTAGGGAATATTTTAGTTTAATAATTTAATGAATAAAAATGTCTTATGAAAAGATTTGTTTAATAGTGAAAAAATTACTCACAATAATTGGAAACAAAACTAAGAAAACTTTTAGTTTAGCTCGTTTAATTTATGTTTTTCCCCCTTTAACAATTGAAACCTAATTTCTGAATAGCAATGATAGATACAGTGACAAATAATAGTGAAATGGGATGATAAATAATGAAAAAATAAATATACCATTTTCACTAAATATGAAAGGGTCTTCTTCTGATGGATTTCATTTTATTTTTATTTTCATCTTTAATAGCATGTTATTCTAAGTCATTCTACTTAAAATGTTTCAAATCGTTGGTAGGCTATAAACTTGTGATGGTTTTTGCTGCTATGTTAGCAATTTTTGAACAGCATGTTGAACAAAAATAAAAGAAGAGGAAGCAGCAAATCTAATTCCATCTTTATTTTCGACAGCACGTTAAAAACACGCATACATGAAAAAGGAACCAAATGCTACTTGTTCGAAAAGAATTTTTTCAAAAGTGTAATCTAATTAAGAATAGGTCGTCTTCTGGCAGGTCTTATTCTATATTCATTTCCATCTTTAACAAAATGTCATTATCTATCGTCTTGTTTAAAAAGTTTTGAATCTTTAGTAGGTTAAAAACCTACGATGGTTTTGGCTGCAATTATAGTTTTTTTTTTTCGACAGCATGTTAAAAAAGAAAAGAAAAAAGAACCAGCAGATCTCATTCCATCTTCATTTTCAACTTTCCATCTTCATTTTGTTGATAGCCCATTCAGCAAAAATAAATAAATAAATAAATAAATAACCAAGCATTATTTCTCCAAAGAAAAATTCTTCAAAAGTTTTGTGAAACTATGAAAGGGCAGTATTTCAACGGATAACATTCTATCTTCATTTTCTATCTTCATAGTTCTGAATCTTTGGAATGTTAAAAACCAACAGCAATTTTGGCTGCAATTTTCAAAATTTTTGACAGCCGTTGAACAACACACACCCAAAAAAGAAATGGTCGATCTCATTCCATCTTCAATTTCATATTTTCATCTTTATTTTGAATAGTCTGTTGAACGAAAAAAAAAGAAAGGAAGAAAGAAGAACCACGCAGTACTTACTTATCCAAAGAGAAATTCTTCAAAAGTGTTATCTAATAACTCTTTCAAAGAAATTTTCAGGCTTTAGACACGGTGACATGGCACGAGGGGCGTTTAGATATTAATTTTTGAATCTCATTTGTTTTCGTCACCATATCCAAAAGAAAGTAAAATTATACCCTTGATCTAAACTCGTCAAACACCATCACTAATCAACCCAAAAATTCAAATATTATGAAGTAAACTCATGCCACGTGTAAACTCATGTCGTGTTTATCAATCTCTTTGTCTATGATTTACAAAAAAAAATTAGGAAAAAAATCAAATTTGATTGTGTAAAATAAATATCTTATTTGGGATAGCCTGTTATTAGGATAGTAAGAGTTTAAAAGAATTTTGGCTGCTATTTAGTTTTAGGGAATTAAGTTTTAAAGATTTGAAAGATCAAACCAATTTTAAATCTAAGATTATTTTATTTTTAATGTGAATTATCCCACCCGAACATAGTTATCTTATTTTAAATAATTTTCTTTATCATCCCATATTTTTCTTATATCCTTTAACCCATTCCATCTAAAGATCCGAAATTGATGGAAAAAAATAAAAAGTAACTAGCCTATAGCATGAATAATGTCTTTAGATAAATGAGAGAATAAAATCAATTTTTTTTCCCGAGAGAGATTTGTGGTAACTTTTATGCGGAAAGGAGATATATTTATAGTTGTTATGCTTTCGGTTTAAGGAGCATCCGATGACCGATCTTTTTAATTAAGGGATTCATTTTAATTGATTATATTAACATATTTTAAGTTGTGTTTATCCCTTATAATTGTGGGATAATTGGTTCATCAATTTTGGTGAGAAGATCTGGATGAATGTAGACGTGAATGTGAATACCTTAATTCTGTAAAAGGATAACAAAATAAAAAATAATTATAATGATATTAATTTTATTTAATATATACCTTATTCAACTTAATTATGTTTGATCATAATTATATATTCTTTAACATCGATTAAGTTTAAATTTTGAATTGATATTACTTTTGAAAATTTAAGATTATCTTGATATTGTTATCTTATTTTTAAATAAAAAACCAGTAATATAAAATTTAACTCAATACATGGTAAAGTTATAAATTAATGGTTTTATTAATATATTTTAATTGTTTAATAAAGAACTAATCATCAAGTGACACATGTTAATGAATCAATTGGAGGGTGATTGAATGACGCGTTATCACTTCATCCTCTTTCCATTAATATATATATTAGGATTTGGGGGGTTGTTATTTACTTTTCTTTTATTTTATTTTTTTTTTTAAAGTTTCTTATGAGAATGCAAGAACGCCATGTTTTTGTGTACATTTGGAGGAAGAAAGGGGCAAATGGGGTGGCACCCCCGGGAAAAAACAAAAATTTAAAATTTTTGATTAAATTTTAAATAGTTTTTTTATCAACTATTAGTTTTAATTAGTTTATAAAATTATATTTTTATATTTATCATAAAATTAAAAATTATGAAGTGTTAAAATACCCCGGTGGACTTGACCCAAAATTAGTCAGCCAAAGAATCTTAAAATGTAAGGAACCAAAAAAGTGAAAATGACCAATTTAACTGAAAACATAAAAGTGATGGACCAAATTAATATTAAGGACCAAATTAAGTTCTGCTAACATAAAAAGGAACATTTCGGTATATTACTCAAGAATTTATGGCAAACTGAGAAATATCATAAGTATTAGCTTCTTATGCGCGAATTAATGTGTAACGTGCGAAGCACGTACATTAACTACTAAGGTTTTACAAGAAATATTTTCTTTTTACCGATTAGTTTGCATTTAAAAGACAAAACAAAATGTCGATAGTCCTGCCATCAATTTTCTGGCCTAATAAGGAGAACTAACGAGAAATTTGATAAACCAAAATTCAATTTTTCAAATGTTTATTGGTGTAAAATTTTAGAAATTGTTTT